CTGGTTAGCAGTCAAATGCTTTAGGCACTATGCCACCAGAGCTCCCAGCTTCACTGAAGGTGTTGGCAAAAAACAAGGCTCCATGAATTGATAGGATACCAGTTGAGATATTTCAACAAATGGATGCAATGTTGGAAGTGCTCACTTATCTATGCCAACAAATTTGGAAGACAGCTACCTGCCATCCAACAGGATAAAATTCATATTTGTGCCCATTCCAAAGAAAGCCAGTCCAACAGAATGCAGAAATTATGAAACCATATCATTAATACCACAACAAGTAAAATTTTGGTAAACACAATTAAAAAATGGTTGCAGCATCACATTGACAAGGAGTTGCTGGAAGTTCAAACCAGATTCAGAAGAAGGCCTGAACAAGGGTTACCACTGATGATGCCAGAGGGACTTTGCCTGAAAGCATAGAATACCAGAAGGGTGTTTACTTGTGTTTTATGACTATGCAAAGGCATTCAACTCTACAGATCATAACAAATTACAGATAACCTTGCAAAAAATGAGAATTCCAGAGCACTTAATTGTGCTCATGAGGAACCTGTACATAGACCTACAGCCTGTTGTTTAAAGAGAACAAGGGGATTGGTTTAAAATGTGAAAAGGTGTGTGCCATGGTTGTAAATTTTCACCATACTTATTCAATCTGTATGGTGAACAAGTAATCTGAGAGGCTGGAGTATAAGAAGAACACGGCATCAGGATTGGAGGAAGACTCATTAACAGATGACACAACCTTGATTGCTGAAAGCAAAGAGGACACGAAGTACTCACTGTTGAAGATCAAAGTCTACAGCCTTCTGTATGGATTACATCTCAACATAAAGAAAACAAAAATCCTCACAATTGGACCAGTAAGCAGCATCATGATAAACAGAAAAGACTGAAGTTGTCAAGATTTTCCTTTTACTTATATCCACAATCAATGCCCATGAAAGCAATGGACAAGAAATAAAATAATGTTTTGTACTGGGCAAATATGCTGCAAAAGACTCCCTTAAAGTGTTAAAGAGCAAACTTGTCACTTTGAAGACTAAGGTGTACCTGACCCAAGCCAAGGTATTTTCAATCACTTCATGTACTTATGAAAGGTGGACAATGGATAATGAAGACTGAAGAAGAATTGATGCATTTGAATTATGGTGTTGGTGAAGAATACTGAATATATCATGGACTGCCAGAAGAACAAACAAATCTCTCTTGGATGAAGTACAGCCAGAATGCTTTTTGGAAGCAAGGATAGTAAGACTTCACCTCTGGTACTTTGGGCATATTGTCAGGAAGGATCAGTGCCTGGAGAAGGATATCGTGCTTGGTGAAGTAGAAGGTCAGCTAAGAAGAGAAAGTATCTCAATAGATGGATTGACACAATGATTACAACAATGAACTCAATCATAGTAAAGGTTGTGAAGATGGCATGGGACTGAGCAGTTTCGTTCCATTGTGCATAGTGTCACTATGAGTCAGAACTGACTTGACGGCACCTGACAACAATGTTATGTTTGAGGTGGCCTGGCTTACCAAATACTTATTGAGCACGTTCTGTATGCCAGGAACTATGGCAGGTGCTAGATGCACAAAAATTTTAGGAGAGAACACTTTTTCTTCTTAAAGCTGGTAACAGAACAGAGAGAAAAATACTAAGAGAAGGAGCAAGGTTTCTCATTGTTGGGAGTGAGGGTTTGTAGATAAGCAAGAAGAGGAGGCTGGAAGGATCCATGTGGTAATGGATTAGAGACATCTGTAAAAATTCATACTTAGCTTAATATAGATACGTATGGTTACATATAGAAATATTTAGATATATGTATCTGCATGGGTTAGTATTCAGACATGTATTTCCTCACTCTATCAGCCAAGAAGAACTAGAAGCAATGATACCTTAGTAGCAATGAACACACCTAGCACATTGATCTTGCTTTTAGTATCATTTACATTATTTTATTTCTTGTCCATTGCTTTCATGGGCATTGATTGTGGATATAAGTAAAAGGAAAATGAATGTTCACAGTAATTTCTAATAAAAGGAACCAGGGGTCCTGGGAGAAATGGCTGATCTGGGACTAGGGCAGGAAATATACAAGTAAGGCTGGAGCACCTTGTAGCGTGAGAAGGTAAGGAAGTGCTGGGGAAAAAGGAAAAATACTAATGGAAATTTTTAATATGGTATAGTGAACACAAGTGCAGGAGTAAAGGCATGTAAACAGCATTGGGGAGAAATGTGGCAGGGGAAAAAGAGAATTCCAAAATGATTCTTAAAGATTTTAACTCAAAAAGAAGACCAAATGTTCTAGTATTTTTGAATCATGTCTTTGAACTTATCCATTTCTGTGTGTATGATATTTTTAACTCACAGTACATTATATTGTGCAATTATTGATGCTCATGTTCCCTTCAGTCTCTATAAAGACCAAACCAAATTCTTTTTTCTTTAGAATAAGAAGTCACAATCTACTAAAGGTATAGAAATAACAATCAGATTTACTGTAATCAGCAAAACATGATCTCCTCTTTCTTCAAAATTTAGTCTAGAAAATAAAAACCCTTAGAAGTTAATTCTGTAAGTAAAAATCTTACATGCACAAGATACACTAAATTTATTACTTGGAATTACTGTGAACATTCATGCTTTTTATCGTTTCATTCAGGGAGTTCCCTACACTTAGAATGCTTGTCTCTCTCATACTCTTCCTAAGTTTGAAATCTTGGTTATCTTTCAAGCTCCACCTCCAATGCCTCTACTTTATGAAGCCTCTCCTTGCTCCCTGATCAACATGAGTGCCTGATTTCTCTAAGTAGTCATAGTTATGTGTCCCTCTATATCCCAGGGACTTAAAGTAACTTAAAACTGCTGTTTATAGAGGTTTCTCCCATTTGACTGTAAGCTTCTTAAGAGTAGGGTCAGTGTAATGGCCCCTTTATTCATAGCTCAGTGTCTGACATTCATCCATTTGTTCAACAACCATGTATTGCATGCCTATCATTGTATACCATGGCATGGATGTTGTTGTTGTTAGGTGCCCTTGAGTTGGTTCTGCCTCATAGTGGCCCTGTGTACACCAGAACCGAGCACTGCTTAGTCCTGCACCATCCTCACAATCATGACAGTTTTAAGACCACTGTTGCAGCCAATGTTAATCCATCTCCTTGAGGGTCTTCCTGTTTTTTGCTGACCTTCTACTTTACAGAGCATGATGTCCTTCTCCAAGCACTGTCCCTCCTGAAAACATGTCCAAAGTATGTGAGAAGAAGTCTCACCTTCCTCATTTCTTTCTTTCTTTCTGTTATTGTGATTTGTATGAAAATTTACAGAGCAAATTCACTTTCCATACAGCAGTTCACATACACTTTGTCTCATGACACTGACCACAATTTACCCCGATGCAACAGCTCCCCTCCCACTTCCTCCCCATAGTTACCTCTTCCCTGTGTCCATCCCTCCATGCACTCCTGCCCTCTGAACTGTCTCCCTGTGCATAAGCAGCCCTTCTTTCTCCCATGATTGTTCTCTTCAAGGAGTGTATCTACTAGAGGTTAATGTTCAACT